TCTTGCCTCATATCAGCTATGACAGTGAGACGGTTGCTCAGAAAGGGGTGTTTAGGATACTTGGCTCACGTAATCGACACCCGGGATAATGGATTGAGGTTAGAGCATATTCCGATGGTACGGGAATTTCCGGATGTGTTTCTTGAGGATCTTCCTGGATTACCTCCTCATCGGGAGATCGAGTTTACCATTGAGCTCGTTCCAGGGACGAACCTTATCTCTTAGGCACTGTATAGAATGGCAATAGCTGAATTAAGGGAGTTGAAAACTTAGTTGCAGGAGTTGGTGGACAAGGGTTTCATCTGACCCAGTTTCTCTCATTGGGGTACACCAGTTCTATTTGTGAAGAATGATGGCACCATGAGGTTATGTACTGATTATAGACAGTTGAATAAGGTTATAGTGCGGATTAGAGAAGAGGATGTGCCTAAGACTACTTTCTGAACAAGATATGGTCATTATGAATTTTTGGCGATGCCTTTTGGGCTGACTAATGCGCCAGCAACATTTATGGATCTCATGAACAGAGTGTTCCGACGTTACTTGGACTGCTTTGTGATTGTGTTCATAGACGATATTCTTGTATATTCTAAAATTCAAAAGGCGCATATGAAGCATGAGTTGAATTATCCTACTCATGATTTGGAACTTGCTGTTGAACGGTTGGAATTTTAATTGCATTTTGTACAGGTGGAAGATTTTTGGGAAACGACTATTTATAAGGGAGACTTTGCCGATTTTTAAGCTGAAGTCAAACTTTAGGTTAACTTCGGTTTTGTTAGACGGGCAATTTAGTTAAGTGTGCCCGGCACCCGGCCAGGTGTCGAACATGCACAGGGTTCGACTCATATTCGAAAGTAGAATTTGGGTCGGGTCCTGTCATAATATATATATATACTGACTTGGGTCACGGACAGTGGCTTTGACAATTTAAGCTCTTTCTAGCAAGAGCTTGATAGGCCATGATCCTATGAAACTAGATGCTCTTGTTATACACACCACCTTCCTTTCTTGGCTCATCCTTCTCCTCTCATCACATTAAGATTTACAGTTGGAAGTAAGCTTAATTTTCCGGAAAAAAATAAATAAAAATTAAGTGAGCTTAATTATTTTTAGTTCGGTCGATGATGACCACTTAAATACAAATTTTAATGATACATTATTACAAATAGGGAAAAAGATGACCAGAAAACGACGACGGTAGAGCAAAAGACATGATGATGGCTATGGCTACAAAAGTATTGCAGCTTGGAAAGTATTGCATCAATATACCCTTGTAGCCATAACATTCGAGGAGATGTGTGTTGCTCCTAAGAAAAACCATGTTATGTTGGAATTGCAGTGTTGGGCTGTGCACCTTGGTCATCAGAAGTCTTTCTCTTGCTTCTATGACAGTAACCCTTCTGCTTGCTACTGGATCTTATATCTAAAGCATCTTTTATTTATGCGGCTCTTGTCAACCGCTATGTGTTTCTCTATCATATTGGCAATGATCACTTACCTATATGTTGTGTTGGTGATACCCGAAAGCGTTATGAATCCAGTTGTTCATTCCATATACCATTATAGGCTAAGATTTTTATTATTTTTATTATTTTTTGCTTCTGCTGGTCGGTGGCTTCTATGATATTCAATTTGTAGTTTGGTTGGTGAAGAAGCTTAACAGCATCCAAAGTAGGGGGGTGTATTTTCGGGGGTGTAATTTTGAGGATGTAAAGCCACTTTTACATCCCCCTTTATACCTTCAAGGGTTGTAAATGTAGTTTTTACTCCAATGAGAAAGATGTAAATTTAAAGATGTATAATTGATTTTTTTATCTTAATTCGTTTTTGTGTTAAATTTTTATTTTGTGTTAACTTTATAAAATTAATTTTTTGTGTATTAGGTTAAATTTTTTCAAACAAATAAACCTAAAAATATTTAAATTCGAAGAAGATATGATTTCATCCAAAAAAAATTAAAGCTGGCTGTTTTTGAAAATTAAAGCTGTTGGTCTTGCAATGTAGCCTTGGGGAGGGGGGAAATGACAACCAAAAATTGGGCCCACATATGAATTTTGGTCCTACAACTTTTTTGCTGACTTTTCTCCACTTTATCTCCCCTCTTTTCAGCTGGGTCCTACCTGCAAGAGATGTAAAAAAAAGATGTACATGTACATCTAAATTTGCATCTCATGGTGGTGATGCAAATTTACACTTGTTTACACCTCCCCATTGCGGGTGATTCCGATCACAAATAGTGTATATTTAAGATACACACTATTATACACCCCACCACTATGGATGCTCTAAGTGCTTATGGCACAAGTATAGACATACACCAACATTATGTAATAGGACACATGGATGTAGGTTGATTAGAGTAGAGGTGTCAAACGGACCGAACAGGCCCTTTTAGAGTCGAGCATTAAGACTTCGAGCCAACCCACTTAGTAAACAGGCAGAGCCAAGCGTGTCTATTTATTTTTTTAAAAAAAACATTAGCTTATATATTACATTAAAATTGAAATTTCAAAAACTCGATATGCCCCAAGGGCTAGACTATTGTTTTGGTTTAAAAGATTGAAATTTAAAAAAAAGTGTCATTATTTAATTTATAAAGACATCATTAATTTTTAACATATGTTACTTAAAAAATGGGCACAAATTTAATATTGTGATGTACTATTTTTCTTTTAAAAACAAATATAATATAATATATGGGGCTTTAATAAGCCGATTCATCGAGTCGGCCAGTGTCAAGCCCGACTTTGATTGGGCTCGTGTCGTGCCGGGCCATATTTAATTAGGTTGGCCTCATACCGTGCACAACTTGACTTGGTTCGTTTGACACCTCTAGTCACAACTCAATGAGGAGATAGATAGAAATAAAGAAATAAAAAGAATTTACTTATTCCTTTTTTTCAATAATTTACAAGGGTATATTGATGCAATACTTTCCAAGCTGCAAATGAGGAATATCAAAATTTCTCTCTATATTGTGTGGAAGAGAATATGGTATAAGTGTAACCTATCATGTGACAATATGTCAACACAAAACTCAACAACACATTTAGGGGGCGTTTGGTATCCTATTCAAATAGAGAACTCAAAAACTTTGATTTTTCTTAAAAACAAGGAGTTCTTAAGGGAGCTGATTTTCTCACTCCTCTTTTATCCGCTTACACTCCCTTTGTTAAAAATTGTATGTTCCCACTCATCTTTTGTCCATTTACACTCCCTTTTTTATTATAGTAAAAACTATTATACATAAATAAAATGGAGTGTAAGTAGACAAAAGAGGAGTGGGAAAATCACCACCCGTTCTTAAATCTATTTTTAAGATTCAAAAACTTGTTTGGTATGCAACTTGAAAATTATTTTCAAATCTTAAAAATTTGAGAACTTATGGGTTGTTAGAAAAAAACTGAAAAAACTGATATTTTTTGTTTTTAATAATTGTGGTGTTTTTTAGTTGTTCTTGAGTTTGAGTTTTTAAAATAGAGCTACCAAATAGGTTTTCTTTGTTTTGAACTCAAATTCTGCTTTTGAGTTTAAAAAGTTGAATTCAAGTTGAATACCAAATAAGTCATACTAAGTTTAGAGTTCACCATTTAAGATTTATAAGAGTTAGATGTTAATTAGAAAGGTCACTATTCACTAAGTGTAATAATTTGACCTGGGTATCCTTTATTTTGACGAAGCTCCTGCTTGGATTGGTTCTCTTCTCCTTGATGATATTCTTGGTGTAGCGAAAGCTAGATTAGTTTGTTCTGATTCTTCTTAGTTGTTGTTGTGTTCGGGGTTTATCCCCTCCAGTTTACCAAAAAAAAAAAAAGTTCTTGGATACTTTCCAAGTTTCAATTTGAATATAAGTTAATTTTTTATTTTTTGAATCATAAGTTTATTCACAATTTAAAATTTCATATCCAATTACATGTGATGCCAAAATGGAAATATTCTTTCCAACATGCACCCGTGGTTTATTATATACCTTGATTTGAAGAATCATGAATACTATATGTTATTTAAGAATTGCAAATTATTATATGAGCAAATTTTAATGAAGAAAAAAGAAGAAATAAAATATTAGGGAATGATATATATACTGACTTGGGTCACGAACCGTGGCTTTGACAGTGTAACCGCGTTGTAATAAGAGCTTCACCAGCCATGATGCTATGAAACCAGACGCTCCTGTTACACACACCACCTTCCCTTCTGTGCCTCTCTCTCTCTCTCTCTCTCTCTCTCTCTCTCTCTGTGTATATGTGAAGCTTTTAGTATTAATATATACGGTGTTGGTGGGCTTTTACGGTGAGAGAAATGAGCTGAATAACGACAAAAATGTCCACGGAGGCAAAGTCAGCTAAAGATGTCCAAGTCGGCGACTGCTCTCAACAACGACAGAAATGGAAAGATGAAGTACAACGAATGTTGTCGTTGGTTATCATTTTTCTACAATTTTATTAAAAGTACTTTTTATGTGGTGGAGATTTGCCGATTGTAGTTTAAGAACTTGTGCATTACAGAAGATCTTTGTGTGCATTGACTAGTGGGATAAGAAAAAATATATTTATAAGGTTAGTGCCGTAGCTTTTAATTTTCATTTTATGTCACATTTCTTCCACTTTCCACCAACTACCACTTCTCCATCTAACTTAAAATATTTCATATTTTCAGACCATGTACTTGGTCACACACCGTGTTGTATTATATTTATAGGGCCGGTTTTGAGAGTTTGAAAGCCACTCCAGGTCCGGCCATTTAGCAGGCCCAGGCTAAGGTTCCTAAGTTAGAGGCGTGTAGAGGAGATCGTTTTGAGCACTAATTAATTAACTGATTCACAATAGTTCGAACAAATATTAAAAAAGACACAATATTATTGAGAATTAATTTAAAGATAGTGAAGCAGCACAATGCCAACTTGAGCTTTTTAATTATTTATAGTTATTTAAAAAAATGATCGACTTATAAAAAGAGACAAAAGGGATAATTATATACAGGAAGATTGAGCCATATATAAAGATCTGAAAGCAACTTTCTAAGAATTTGCCTAGTCAATGAGAACAGTCTGAACAAGAACAAAACTGAACAGTCTGAAGACAAACTACAAAATGCCAAAATGTGACCAACTTGTGCATTAAATTAGGAAGTTTCTATCTTGAGAGGAAGCCCTTCTCCTTGAGACTTTCAACAGTGTCCCTAAGACTTACTTCCAATGGAAGGAAACTAACTCCCAAGCTTTTTGCTTTTTCCTGCGATACTTGAAACGTGGGTTCAGAAGGACTGCCATCCTCAAATCTGCTGTCAAGGAAAGAAACGAATATTTCCCTTAGAAATTTGCCACATTGTATTTCACCCGTGATGTATATATTTAACTTATAGGAAAATAGGAATTTGAACCAAAGCAGTATTTTATAAGGCTAGACCGAGTAAGAAAGGACTTTGACTTGCAGACCAATATTGGTCTCAAGTTTGAATCCCCATAACATTTTGATAGTGTGTGTAAGAAACCCCTTCTCCTTGTAGTTTAGACCATCACTTGTATGAGAAAGAAAAATAAAAGTTTCTAGGGCTAGACAAGACAAGACCAATTAAAATGAACTATTAACTTTTTGAAGTTTTATGCTTAATGAACTTAATTAACAATCCGGACTGCACTTATTAAATTGGAGAAGCTGCACTTATTAAATTGGAGAAGCAACAAGTCATCTCCTGAGTTGTATGAGACGGGACTAGGTTCACTCCCGATCTTGTCCATTCAGAGCCACCAAACGAACATTAATGGAGCGATGTGGGATAAGTAAAACCTTGATACTAATAATATCCCCAAATTGTGGCATTTGGCAAGCATAACTTACTTTTCAGGTGGGCAAAAAATGGGATGAAGTTGTTGTAAAATCTTCAAAGCCTCGAAAACGGGTGTAACATGTCCAACTAAACAGTATCTTCCATTAGCTGAAGGAACTTCAAATGCTTGTATATGGGTGTAGGCAACATCTCTAACATCAGTAGATATATAATTTGGTTTGTTTGCTTCTTGCATATCTGCATGGAAAACAAAGAGATACAAAAAAATAAAAAGAAATACCATCGATTGTTAGCGCATCACAAGAATCATCTAAAGACTTAAAAAAGTAGTTAATTGCCTTAATTCACTATGCAACTACAATTGTAGAAGCTATGGACAGATTAATTTTGTTCTCAAACGACTTAAAACTTTAAATTTTATTTGTTATGTTTATTAGTTTTCAATAGACGTTCCTAGCTACTTAAAAAATGAATAAAGTTTTGGTTGCTAGAAACTGGCCTGCAGCAAGTGAAAAAGATAGTTTTGCCTAAGTGTACCTTTTTTGAGATTCAGAACCATTTCCACAGTGGCATTAAGAGTTGGCTGCAAGAGTGGACCAATCACATATGCCGGATTTAGAGTAACTAAGTCAATCCCATTTCCTTTAGCAAATTTCCAAGCAGCCTCCTCAGCTAAAGTTTTTGAAAGAAAATACCATGCCTGGACATATAGAAAGAAAAGGTAGTTCTTGATTTGAATAAAATTCATTGATTTTGAAACAAACTGAGCCGTTAAAGCAATTTTGAAGGCAACTACTGATGCACAAAATTGGATCCGTATATACTTGCAACAAAAGAATAAACTGCATACCTCCAAATCCTCACAAACAAGTGGATCTGAAAACCATGTTTCATCGACTACCACATCAGAAGTCAAAGGTTTTCCGTTGTTCAGAACTGAAGCCATTGAAGATGTTAAAACTACCCTCTTGACAGTCGGGAATTTTACGCACGATTTCAGAACATTTAGTGTGCCCTTCACTGCAGGGTATAGTAATTCTTCCTGAGATGTAGAGAAAAAGCATCATTGTAGTTTTTACATTAAAAAAAATATAAACATTTGGAAGTTATTTTTTATTCTCTAAGAAAATACACAAATGGCGACACATGTAATTAAGCAATCGGCAAGACAAGAATGGTATTTGAAGTATATGTGGGAGGAATGAACCTGGGGGTCAGTGGGAGAAAATAATATTACAGGGGATGCTGTATGGAAAACACCTTCACATCCATCAACTGCAAGGTCAAAAGATCCTTCAACTAACAAATCTGCTTGAAACAAATGTAGCCTTTCTTTTGCTCCATCAAGTGTGAGTAAGTGTTCTGTTTTCTTTGGATCATCTGTAGCATGCACATATTTACAAATAAGTACAACAATAGTTTAATTTAAAATACAAAAAGAAAATAAGAGTTCATGTCCAATAAAAATTTTATAATAGCAAAAAATAAATGAAAAGTAGCAATCAAAGCCCAGAAGTTTTTATTGTTGTCATCAAAACAAAAAGTTTTAGAATGAAAACTATTCCAATACCTGTTTTGAAGTATATTAGAGCAAGTTTAGAGAAAGAAAGAAAAAAAAAAAAGTCGTAAAATACTGACTTGGGTCACGAACAGTGGCTTTGACAGTATAACCTCTTTGTAATAAGAGCTTCACCACCCATGATGCTATGAAACCAGATACACACACCCCCTCCCCTTCTCTGCTCACCCTCTCTCTCTCTCTCTCTCTCTCTCTCTCTCTCTCTCTCTCTGTGACCTCTGATCTGAAGTTTTATATTTTGTGCTTTTATTATTGTGTAAGACATTGATGTTGATGACTATATATTACTTTATTAAAAAGGGTATTCCAATTCAAGAACGAATAAATACAAAGAACAAGTGCCGTTGATTGATTCTGTAATATTTTTTTTCATTACAATTTTATTATTTGACCATGTGCAGCAGAACTTCTGCATTACATGGAATCCATAAATCTTGTGTTTATATATATATATATATATATATATATAATGTATAAAGAAACGAGCTTGGTACGTCTTGCATAACTTGGAGAAAATAATGAATAAATTAAAAGCACAACTGGATAAGATAAATCATCAGTAAACATAGTTTGTTGGTTTGCGTGGCAATGATCTTTGTATGCATTCAGTGGAATTCCAGGTTTCAAAAACCGGTTGGGCAAAACTTACATACTAAACTCGAGGATATATGTGACTTTCATTAATAAACTTAATTCATCCCTAATTAAACATTCAATTTTAACAAAATCCCAAATCAAAGCCCTATAATAATTCATCCCTAATAAAAGCCCTAATTAAATTCAATAAAATCCCAAAATTATAATTCATCCCTAATTAAACCCTACAATATTGAATTTTAAATTAAAGATATATAGCAAAGGAGAGAATGATAATAATACTTGTTGTTGACAAAAGGAGAGGAGAATATGTTGTTGCCAAGTTGCCCACTCAAGATAATATATAGAAGATGTAGCCAATAGAGGGAGAATTTGACCCACAAATAAGAGAGGAAGAAACAAGTTGTTACTGTCGGGTAGCAAAGAGAGAGAGAAACAATAAGTCTAATAGCCAAAAGAAAGGGAGAGAGAAGATATGAAACCACCTGGATGGGCATTATATGTGTAGGATTTACTTTTAATTTTTTTAATTTGGGGCTAGGCTTATAACACATGTAGGTTATAAGGTTATACTGAAGAAAAAAAATCAAAAGGAAAAATTCTTTGCTAGCATATGGAAAACGGAAAATAAGAAGAATAGCAGAATCATATACGCAATAAAATAGCAATAAATAAAAAGCTAAATTATAATTTGTTTTAATTTGCAGTCTTTTTCTGTTTTACGAGAAGAATACATGTATATATAATATTCATTTACTACATTTGGTTTTAAAAAAATACTTTTATATGTGATAGCCAAACATCAACCTATATACTTAATAAGCTAGCGCTACAAGCAAATTATATCTTACTTTTCAGGTGGGCAAAGAGTGGGATGAAGTTCATGTAAAATCTAATTGAGAGCCTTGGACATGGGTGTAACATGTCCAACTAAACAGTATCTTGCAGTAGCTGAAGGAACCTCAAATGCTTGAACATGAGCAGAGGCAACATCTTTAACATCAGTAGAGAAATAATTTGAACCGGTTACATCCGGTATATTTGCATAGATTAGAAACAAACTTGCATCACAAGAATCATTTGAATCTTGCACCACAAGAATCAAGATGATTTTGGAGAAGATGGCGGCTGCAGGTTGTTGATGCACGTTGATTATGATGCTTTTTTATTTTTTATTTAATTTTTCTATAGATTTTAGGATTAGATTTCATTTTTTAGCCTTATTTAATTATATTAACTATTATTTATGTTTTAATTATTCTTTATTTAATGAATAATTAGTATTTAAGTATTACAATTAATTTCATAAATTACTTAATAAATACTAATTAATTATATTTATTTATCCGAAATAATTTGGTCAGTCAAACATTGAAAACCATGCTTCGGATTCTAAAAATCTTGAGGTCGAATTAGAACGAAGTGATTTGTTATTGAATTTGCGGCCTATTAAGCTCCTTTCCACTTCAATCAACACATGTCATTTTTATCTTTTTCTTGTTTTTATTTGTTCAGTAAAAGATTTTAAATTAACTTCTCTTCAGATCATATAGTATTGAAACCTTGCTATTGATGTAATTGATTTATTCATTGAGAGTTAAGATTATTGATTGACTTCCGTTTTCAACTCTGCATCTCACATGATAACCTAATTCGTGATGATAACAGATTGATATTAATATTTAAATAGTATAGCTGCACGGTTATACTATTTAAATATATTTGAATATTTTAAAAGTACAGTCGAATGATTGTACTGTTAAAATATATTAATATATCAAGGTATAGTCGGGCGACTGTACTTTTTTAATTATTTGTATACATTAAAAAGTATCTCCGCACGGCTATACTCGTTAAATAGTCAAAGGGTATACCCGTACGGCTGTACACTTTAAAATATATTAATATTTCAAGAGTATAGCCGAGCGGCTAGACTGCACAAAATGGTAATTGTTCTTTTTTTGTAATAAAGTAATATCTTTGCCCTTTTTAATTGCTTTAATGAGTAATTATGTTTTAATTGTTATTTCTTTGGTGAATAATCAGTATTTAAATATTTTACTAATTTCATAAATCAGTTAATAAATAGTAATTAATTATTTCTGGATTTTGTTTTTAATTTTTTATACAACATTAGTTTGTTTAGTTTAATATTGGCAATTAAGTAATATCCTAGCCTTATTTAATTATATTAACTATTATTTATGTTTTAAGTATTCTTTATTTAATGAATATTTAGTATTTAACTATTTTAATTAATTTCATAAATTACTTAGTAAATACTAATTAATTATATTTATTTATCTTAAATAATGGTTAGATAATTTGCAACAAATTTTCAATGTAGGGTACTGTTGAGGCCCAAAAATTCAGGGTTGGGCCCAAATAAATTCTTTACTCAGTGCAACACTTTATTAATAAAAGACCCGGTTCAGAGCACGCGAAATTCGTCATGCACGCTTTGACAAGTTACGACCACGTGCTATGCCAAATAAATATGCAATTTATCACGCTAAGAATTAAAATAAGCCTATAAAAGGCATTGGCTCTACAAGCCCATGCTAATTATTCCGTCAAGCACTATGTCTCTCTTCAAAGCGACAAAATTCAAGCACACCAAGTGACATGCAATACCAAGCGAAAAATCATTATTTCACACCCAACCACGCTACAAGCTTAAGTGGGCCCAAGCCACGCAAATACCCGGGGCATGCTTGAGTGGGTTGTGGTATGGATGGTAACAAGCTTTCATGAGGCCTATTGATGAGCCAAGGAATGGAAGTTTTAGGCTGCTTGGGAGCCCCAAAACTCAAGCCCATTTCTTGAGCCCAAACACATGGGCTAGCATGGGAGAGAGAACATAACCCAATGCCTTAGAAAGAATACAGTAGTTTGCTTAGGAAACCGTATGTTAGTAGAGCATCCAATACTTTGTTAAAAACGCAACATGCAAACTGCTTCCAGCAACTTGACGAAAGCTAACTGGTCGGTGTAGAATAGAGTATCACTGACCCAAAACCTTGAGAAAAGCCCAGCCCAGTGCTCTACAAAAGATCTAGCAAGCGTGTTCAGCCTTTGCCCAAAGTTCTATGACAGAGTCAACATGAGCCAACATAAAAACCAAAGGAAATTCATGCGAGCAAGAAGGATACCCGTTGGGCAAACCATATGTCCATTCCCCCTTTTCCTCTGTTAGCTCCCATAGGAAAAACCAGGAAGAAAGTGGGTGGCGCCTCACCCCTATGGAGAAAACCAACTGTGTCAAAACCTTGGAACCCTAAAGGGCTCCTTACCCATGCATCTTGGATAGGAAAATTTCACCAAATTGGATTGAATGGAAAGAAGCAAAGAAAAAGGAAGAAGGAGGTTAGACAAAATTAGGGATTCTTTGTGCCTATAAAGGGAGCTTCTTCTACCCAGCAAAATCACTATCCAAAGTGCGACCAAGCTTTGTCAAGCAACTGGAAATTCACTCAATCCACATCTAGAGAGCAAGCTTCCTCTCTTGCTTCCAAAACTCAGCAACTTCAAGCCCTATTCCTCCATCTCTTCCCCTTTTCTCTTATGTTAAAACATTCCAAAGCTTGACAAATTTTTTGTCAAGCTGCCGGAAATTACTCAACACACCTATACCCTCATCTCTCTCCCTCTTCAACAAACCCTCTTAGAATCCATTCTCCCTTTCCTTAGAACCCCTGCCTTTCATAAGAACTCACAGCTCTCTCTCTGTTTATGCTAAACTCATGATGGTTTTGCTCCCATGTCACAAGCCTTTCATGCCAAGCTAAGAATCTACCTGCAAGCAATTGTTGTTTTTGTTGGTGAAGATAACCAGGATGCTTCCTAAGGCTTTACTACCCTTTCGAAACATTCTTGGGGCATGATTCTTGAACTCAAGCACATGGGGTAATTTCACCTATTTCTCTTTTCGGCAGCCCAAGCTCATTCGTCAGGCTGCTGGAACAAAAGACCCCTACAGGTACTTCATTGTTAAACTATACCCCCAACGTTATTAAAATTGGAAGTGCATTGACAAACATGTCTTAAGGGTACACTTGTTGTGGGGTAACCCAATAATATATTATATATGACATATAGAATTAGTTATAAACAACTTATAATTTAAGTTAAAATCCCCTCTAAAACAAATTAGACATGACTAAATTAGAAATACTTAGCTCTAACATGTAACTCTTTAATTCTTAGGTGTATGATATACTTGTATTTTCTATTTCGCCTCCCCCCCCAACTTTACAATTCTAACTCTGTCCTTGTGTGGGTTAGTGGATGAAAATAGTGGAGATGCTGTGTGAAAAAACACCTTCACATCAATCAAACTACAGCGTCAAAAAATCCCTCTTCTAATAAATCTGCTTTGAACAATTGAAGCCTTTCTTTTGCTCCCTCTAGTGAGAGTAGGTGTTCTGTTTTCTTTGGATAATCTGTGGCATACATAAAAAGAACTAGTGATTTGGTCTAATTACTAAAATCATATAACATAGTAAGAGCAACACTATATTTTACCCTCTTTGATAACTGAATTATTTATTTTCTTGGTGTTACGAAGGTCGGGGCCACCAATTAGTTCTTAGTCTAGTTGAAAACTAAACAATATAGACAACCCAGAATTTTGATCACTATTGATAGAGCTGTTTAATATATGCTAGAAGTTTTGATAATGAAAAAATAAAAAGAATTGTATGTACTAATTTCAAAGAGATGGGTTGGTGGCTCATCACTAGCAACACCGATATTGTTTGTTCCCAACTTAACTACATACAAAGCCTATGTGTGGGGTTTACATGCAGGAATGGATATTCCATTTTGGTTCTATTGGTAGTGGAAACATATTCGTTATATGTTGGATTTTATTTAGTCATGTTTCTGATTTGGGACTTGTATATATTCTTTAACAGCTTTGACAGTATAACCTCTTTGTAATAAGAGCTTCACCAGCCATGATGATATGAAACCAGACGCTCCTGTTACACCGCCTTCCTTCCTCTGCTCATCCTCTCTTTTTGTGTCTGTATAGCTTTGGTTCTTCAGTTGGTGTTTTTTATTTAAAAATGTCAGCGATAGATTAGGGTCTATGGAGTCACCATCAGTCTTCCGCTCAGAATAATTATGTTATGGCAGTCATTGTTTATTATTAAGATTCATCAAAGATAAAAATAAAGATATTATTGTGTGAAGGAAAAGTGAAGATTGTGTTGGCAGTCAATGTTTATTATTGATTGCATAATAAAGGCAAGAAGTATTTCTCAAGCAAACATAGAGTAACTACTACATATGCTTCCAACTTATCTAGCTTGGAAACATCTACAACCTTTTCGCATAAAGCATTGAAGAAGAAACACAATCTTGTTATTTCATATCTTGCAGGCTTCTCTACATAGAAATTGTTAGAGTTTGTAAAGGAAAATACACTTTTTACTAAGTCCCACATTGGAAGAGAGTTGTTTCCTTTCATGGTTTATAAACACTAACACTTTAGAAATTCTAAATAGGATATGGGCCTAATGGAGGCAGAGTTGGGCCTCATCTTGGTTTGGGCTTAGAATATATATATTTGATTAATTATTAATTTATATATATATATATTTAATTATCAATATCATTTTCGGATAAATTTGAAATGAATTTTGCAAACATGGGTTTAGCTAAATTGGCTAAAGTGGATGTGCTCTCCACTTTGCACCTGAGTTGAATCCTCCTCCCTATAATTTAGATTAGATTAAAATAGAATATCGCTTGTATTAAAATATATATATATATATATTTGAAATGATAACTGATTCAAAATATTTGCAAGAAAGGAGTGCCTTAAAACAAGTTGAACTTATATTTTTATTCATATTCATTTTGAAACTTCACAAATGATTTACATGCAGGAAGATTGAGCAATATATAAAAATCTGAAAGCAGCTTCTGTGTGCATCTGTCTAGTCAACTCTTTCGCTATCTTGATTTAAGAAAATCTTAACAGGAACATTATTATTTTCAGCATCTCTTTGGAGCACTTCAGCAGAAAACAAAGTTCAAATTGCCAATATTCGATCAACTTGTGCAGCAAAATAACAAATTGCTATCAAGTGCATAATTTAAATCTTGAGGAAGCCTTTCTCCTTCAGGCTTTCAACAGTGTCCCTAAGACTTACTTCCAAAGGAAGGAAAGTGATTCCTAAACCTTTTGCTTTCTCCACGGACACTTGATATGTTGGCTCCGGAGGAGTGCCTACCTCACATCTGCCAATAACAAAAAATAGATTAAAAAAAATCCCTTAAAAATATGCCACATTCAGTGAGTTTGAGGATATTCCTAACTGGTGTAGATTTGGTGTTTTGCAAGTCCAAATGTAATTTAGATTCTTCTCTGTTTTTATATGTGATATTCTTCAAATCTGAAAAGGTAAGTTTTCAGATTGATATGAAAGATAATAATTTTCATTGCCATTTGGTTTAGTTACTCAAGATATCTGAGAAGAAAAAGAAAATTTATTATATTACTGATATATTTAAGCAGAGTAGATCATTAAGTGGGATTAAGTAATCTGAATTAATGGCAATCGGGCACCAATTTGTGGCATTTTATCAATGATAGCTTACTTTTCAGGAAGCAAAGTGGGATAAAGTTGTCGTAAAATCTTCAGAGTCTTGGAAACGCTTGCAACATGGCCAACTAAACAAAATCTTCCAGCAGCTGAAGGAAGTTCAAATGCTTGAATATGAGCAGAGGCAACATCTCTAACATCAATGAATCTGTAATTTGAAACAGGTATTGTTTGGGTGCCTGCACAAAAGAGAGAGAGAAAACAATCAACTCAATTTATTTGTTACTTGAAGCAACTGTTTCAGATAGATTTAAGCTACTGTCTTGACACATCTAATTCTAATTTAGTAAATTTGCTAGGACAAGGCCTGGATCTCCACTTTCCATGCTATCTGCCTCAACTGATAAAAAAGAAAGTTGCTGAAGTGTACCACTTATGAGATTCTGAAACAGCTCCACAGAGAGATTAAGAGTTGGCTGTAAGAGTGGACCAATCACAAACCCTGGATTCATTATAACCAAGTCAATCCCATTTCCTTTAGCATATTCCCAGGCAGCCTTCTCAGCTAAAGTTTTTGAGAGCATATACCATTGCTGAACAAATGCGAAAGGAAGATAATATTGAGCTTGTAGTTCATGCTAAACCAAGATGTACTGCTTTGTCTTACATTAAGCTTTTTTATGAGGAAAAAAAAAAAACAGATGATATAGTTTAATGCTGATAGCTAGAATGCCCTTGTGCAAGCTTTGGTTCCGAAAAATTGTAAAGTTTCTTAATTTTATGAAAAAGAGCATAGATTTCCAACGAAAAAAGGCCAAAAATGAGGTGCGGCAAACAGTGAGACACCTTGAACACCGGAAGATGCACAACAACTTAAAAGCTGCTTTTGTAGGATAAGTAAAGAACAGTGGAAATTCTAAAGAACGAAGAAGTATTGCATTAGTCATCTCTTTTATAATTGAATCCGTCTACCTGTTAATGTGACAAGATTTGATCCTGTTTCCATTGACAGGGAAATATAGCACACTAACAATGAATAAAAAGTCATACTTTGAGAAGGATAATAACATGGATACATTATACATACCTTGTGGTTCTCACAAACAACTTGATCTGAATACCATGTTTCATCAATTACCACATCAGAGGTCAGAGGTTTTCCACTCATCATTACTGAAGCCATAGAAGATGTTAAAACCACTCTCTTGACAGTAGAAAATTTCACGCATGATTTGAGAACATTGAGTGTTCCATTCACTGCAGGGTCAACTATTTCGGCCTGAATTGTGGAGACAAAGAATCATTATGGTTTCACATAAAAAGTATTAGAAGTATGTTGATTCTCTAAATACATATAGAAACCCGCAAAAGCATCGTGCACACAGGGAAATGTAACCTATCTGTTAAAGCTAGACATCAAACCCCAAATTCAAATAGGCTTTTTTTGGAAACACCAAATTAATCTATCCAGGAATCTAGTCCTACTCCCATGTCTCTGATGCAAAATATGGGAAAGAAGCAGCCAATTACTAAACTGTGAAAGCAAACGATAAAGATCAGTGCTGTCTATTGGGAGTGAGGGAAAAGATCTTAAAAGAATCTCTTAAGAAGATGCACGAAACAAATAATATGAGTTGGTTTACACTTTTCATCCTGATATGCTAATGATTCTGAAATGGCTAGTGAGCATTGCCTGCATAAGTTGCCAATGAAATTTCTTGTTTTGTTCGGACATTTCTCAGCAAACTATTAATGCAACCAAGTTTTCTTTTTCCTTATTGTTAAAGACTCAAGATGCACAAAGTACAGTTCCCTCCGGTTGAATTTACAAATTATGCATGAATGCTATGTTAAATACACTTGGTAAAAGAAGCCCTGTAAGCAACAGACTATTATGAGAATGGTACAACATTTGAAGCCTGAAGTAAAGGGACAAACCTGTGGGTCAGTAGCCGAAAATTGTACGGGGGATGCTGTATGGAAAACACCTTCACATCCATCGACTACAGTGTCAAAAGATCCTTCTTCTATCAAATCTGCTTTGAACAAATGAAGCCTCTCTTTTGCTCCATCCAGTGAGAGCAAGTGCTCTGTTTTCTTTGGATCATCTTGTGGCATACATAAACAGAACTAGTGAGAATAAAAACACAAGAAGCACTTGAGATGGAATATATGTCCACAAGACAAAGTGGCAAAGACTGACTGCAGTTACTGCTGGGACTTAATTGGAAATTGAGCTAGGCCACCAAAGCCCCCAGAAACAAAAACGCAAAAGAGTTTAAATTGGATGCACATTTTGTCATTTCAAACAAAAACACATTTGACTTGCCACTCCAGATGAAGAGATCAGAAAATGACTAGATACTAGAGTTCTCTTTTGGAATACAAAAACAAAGCAAAACAAAACAAAACCCAGAATTCGAAAATGACAATTATTGGTCTACATAGATATGATCAAGTTTAGAAAAAGGGAAAAGAAAAGACTTGGAAGCAAGTACTAAGACTAACTTGGGTCACGAACAGTAGCTTTGATAGTATAACCTCGTTGCAATAAGAGCTTAACTAGCCACGATGCTATGTAACCGGAGGCTCCTGTTACACAAACAACCTTTGTTGCTCCACTCATCCTATCTCGCTTTGTGTCTGTTTGTCTGTCTCCAGGCTCAGAATACGATTAGGATCATTGGAGGCAAATTCAGTTGGTGTATTTTATCGCGAAGAAGGCAAAAGAAGATTAGGCATATTGGAGGCAAATTCAGTCTTCGCTTTGAATGGCCGTCATTTCTTACGGTAAGTGTTGACCAAAAAATAGGATTTTATTATGAAGAGAAAAGGATAAACTAAATGCTACACTTATCACATTTTTATCCCACAATTCTATACCACATGATGTGGCACGTTCATATTATATGTCACATCAATTAAATTAATGAAGTGTATTTTAATTAAGGCAATTACAAAAACAAATACGGGAATAAATCATAAAATAAAAGAAAATATTAAATAATTTTAATTGATGTGGCTGTCCACCTCAGCTGCCACATAAGATGGTATAAAGAAGTGGTATACAAATGTGGTAAGAGTAGCATTATTCTTAATTTATTATGTGTATAAGTCACAACTAGGTAACTCTATGATTTCTAATTTTGCTAATTTTTTTTTGTAAGAATGACCCTTTGAATAAGTACTTTAAAATAAATGATTTGAATCGTTGATATATGAATATTTTGGATAAAATGTACAGTTACGGATATTAGCAAAATATCATTTCACATTCATATGCATTGATTTCATGGTTTTGCTTTCTTTTTTTTACTTTTCTTAAATTCTGGAATTGCATTCATAATTTAACCAAAAAAATCACTAGTCATAAGAGGTCATTACAATAACGGAGCGATCTAACATCAACATTAAGACAACATAGGGTTCATCCACTAACTATCACACATGATTAAAGAAACTCTGTCATACGCATCTCAACTAAGAGTGCAAATTCAGAACAACCAAAAGAAGATAAAACTTGAAAAAACCAAGCCATAACAATACAAATAAAACTTTCACAAAGGATGAAGGGAAAATATATTGAGTAGGGATTTCAAATTCTCAATTATAACATAGGAGAACTGATGTGTGGATATTTATACAGCTTTTTGATAAATATTTCCCTTAGATTTTGTATAATTGGATTGGTTAATTGCACTAAATTTAATTGTTTTGATTTATAGGATCTCAATTTCGGAAATACATAGAAAATAAAGAAGAAGTGCAGTTTTGGGTGTATAGAGAAATTATGCTGGAATCATCTCAATGGGCCTAGGCAAAGTTGATGATGGATGGCAGCCCAAACAAAGGAGAAGGAAGCTGGGCTTGGAATCCAAATGCAAGTGGCTGGGTGTGAAGAGCTGATGTGGGAAGACTTACTTTTTTTGTTAGACTGATTTTTAAATATGAATTATCTCCTTTTTGGTTAAGGATTTCGAGTCCAAGTCGGCTAGGGGTTGTATTAGTATCTAAATTTAGACCCGATGTACATTTGAGTCCCTCAATTTACAAATGGTTCCCGTGATCCTTTAACTTTAGTTTTATTGTGACAAATGGTCATGCGGTCAATTTTGTTAACTTTTCTGTTAAGTGCAGGGATAAAATGGTATTTTTGTATCAAAATTGATTAAAATATGAATACGCAATTAAAAAAACTAAAAAATTAAAAAAAAATTAAAATTAATACTCTCTCTCCCCCTCTATTCTGATTTCTGATTTCTACTTCCCACAAACTTTTTTTTTTGTTGGTTTTTTATTTGATTTTCTTTTATTGTTATTTTAAAGATATGATTTTTTTAATTCATTTTTTAGTTTTAATATTAAAATACCATTTAGCCTCTACATTTAACAGAAAAAGTTAACAAAATTGACGGCAGGACCATTTGTCCAAACGAAACTAGAGTTAAAGGATCACGGGAACCATTTTGGAAATTGAGGTAATCAAATGCAAATCGAGTCCAAGTTCAGGGACTAATAAAATAATTAGTCCCTTGGACTATATGATGAGGGAGGTGGTGGTGAGGTGGGGGGGGGGGGGGAAGAGGGGGGGGGGGGGGGGGGAGGACAATATTTCCGACAGTAAGAGATCAAGGTTTTTGACAAAAGTTGCAGAAGGCTTACGGCAAAGCAAGGGGAGAAAGGCTCAAGTCTAGGGTTTTTCTGAACTTATGCTATTTTTTTATTGTGATTTCAATTATGATTATGAAGAACTAATTTTCTTAGTTAGGGCTACGATGTAGCCTAATCATGAATACTCAATTTCTTAGTTAATATTAATTTCAAGTTTTTCCCTTTTTATTGAGTATCTTTTGTTGTGCTTAATGTTTAATTTGGTTTGGATGTCTAATCACCATCTAAAGTTGAATTAGTGTGATGCAAGTTAGAGTAGATGCCATACTTAACTTGAGTTATGCTTCTTGCAATTGATACCATGAATGACTAATTGTAGATGCCATGCACTTAGGGTTTGTGTGATCGCTACATAATTTCGATAGAGCTTAATGGGTCTTTATGTGTCGAATTCATCTAGATGCCATAGAGAATTGCATGTAAAGATAATTTTGATGTAACCAGATGTCATGACCATTGAATAATTTAGGGAAATTGATCATCGATAAGGGGAATTGCTTGGAATTGATAGGCTAAGGGATTGGGTAGGATTGGCTAAGCTGAAATCAGATGCTCTAGTGTCTTTCTCTCTTGGTTTTCCTAAATCCCTTGTGTTGTGCAACTCTGTCTTTAGTTTTAATTGCTTTCTTTAATTTTAGTTTTTCTCAATTATAAATTCAAATCAATTTCATCCATTAAAGTTTCTCAATATAAAATTAGTTTCAGTTTAATTGGTAGGAATATTAAGAATTATATCAATCTTTGTGGGACGATATATGTGTTTACTTAGCTATACTATCTTTGATTTGTATACTTGCGAGCATTAATATTTGATTAATTTGGTAAACCTAACTTTCGCAACGAGAACAAATTATCTAGCATATGCATATCTAATATGAAATTAAAATTTGCACCAAAGATTGTGTAATTCAACTATTGAGAGAAGGTTGAAAGAGCACATACCCTTGGAGCGAATCTTGAAACTAAGGATGGTGTTCAAGTACAGGGATTGGTCCCTTAGATTTTGATTCTCCACACTTGATCTCCAAATAGGCACACTAAGGATGCACCTCCCAAAAGAATCTTCACCAAGAATGGAAGATAATAGGAGAATAAGGAAGCTTGGAGAGAAGATGGGTGCTAGCCTCTTCTTCTCCGAGTGGCCGGCCAAGGGAGACTAGGGAGGAAGGCTTGATGTTTCCTCTCTTCTTAAATGTCTAACTTGAAAACCCTAAAATACTAGACATGTATTTATAAATAAACCCAATCCTAGACATGTATTTATAAAAAAAACTCAAATACTATTTAAACATAGAAACACACCCAAAATCAACATCAAAGTCAACAATTGTATATTTTTTTGGGTGTGTTTATAAAGTATTTTAGGTGTTGAGTTTTTTTTATAATTTCAGCTCCCATTTTGGGTGTTTTAGTGAAACTCCCTTCTATTTATAGGGCCACATGTATCACACCTTGTGACACATGTGAACATTAGTCCACATGTGCCACAACCCCCTTACAATGGCCTCTTTTTGGGCTATCTAAGTCCATTACATTTATCTCATAATGTGTCACACATATGTCTAACTAAATAAGAGTCCATTTCAATAAATTATTAAGTCATGTAGGACCAAAACTAAAATTTCATAACTTTAATTAACTTATTAAACTATTCTAATTAGTTTAATGACTTACATCACAGTGGACAACATGATTTGGAAAATGGGTTATTTGTTACAAACAGACTTTCATCCATGGCTAAGAAGTCATCGTTCGAATTGGGAAATGTACGCCCTGGTCGAATATTCCCAATTTGAATTAAACGCTCCCCTGAGGTGATTATTTGTCTGTTTGATGGTAAAAATGCGTCCAAGGTGTATTTAAGCTTATCTGATGGTTTGTTTTTTCAAAAAAAAAAATTTCTCTAGAAGATAACATCCACCTAATAATAAACTGTCAAAATTTCTTCTGGAATAAGTCACCTTCAGTTTTGCCTTTCTTGGAGCTCAGCAATTAGATTATCAATCCGCACTAAAAGTCCCTCGAGAGGAAAAGGTGTGGGTTGAGCAGAACTTCTAATGGAGTCACTTCAAAGTTTAAAACTCGCAATAAGTAAAAGGCAGTTGAAACAAGTTCCACATTACTACATTTAGGTGACTAATAAAACTTCATGTAAACAGGTTTTTTTTTTTTTTTTTTTTTTGTGGTAGAAAATGTAAAGGGCTCTTAGACAAGGACTTTTGTTGAGAATTGGCCTAACATACTTTCCATAAGTGATAAACTGAGCTCTAATGTCTCGACGGTAATTCGAATGAGTTCCATGATTAAAGGAAGTTCTTCTCCTTCAAACTTTCCACAGTATCTTCCAATGTTACCTCCAGAGGCGTAAACTTAACACCCAAGGCTTGGGCTCTTTCCTTGGAAACTTGGTAAGTTGGTGTGAAAGGTTTGTCATCTGCACATCTGCCATGAACACATAGACATTAATTTTTGAAGTTTGGACTTCCAAATCTTAAAGTCCAAATATTATGTTTCGCAATTTAGCACTTATGAAGAAAAATTCATATTACTGAGTCTGTTTATCATATCAATGTTAAACAGAACAATATGAATATGGTAAACTTGACCAAATAATTCCTCCTCTATCTCTAGGGTTGATACAGATATCTTGGACAGGAGTAACATGCTATAATTTGATTATATTTGCAACTTACTTTTCTGGAATCTTGAGAGCAGGGAAGAGATCACGCAAAAGCTTCACGACCTCTGAACAGTGTGTTATTCTTCCAACTAAACAATATCTCCCACTAGCTGAAGCATTCTCAAAGGCTAGAATATGAGCATTGGCAACATCTCTAACATCAACCCATCTGTAAGTTATATTCGGAAATGTTTCAGCACCTGCATCAGTTAAACATCAGCAATAAGAATTTCTTAGCAGATTGTATGTTATCACAGAGATAATGAGAAAGAATTATTGAAGCATTACCTTGTGTCTTGGATTTTGAAGCAATTTTTTCGTGTTCATAGTTTTTGTACAAGGATTTTTCAGAAGGAACCCTTT